TGCGCGACGTGATGCGGATGTGGGACTCTGATGTGAAGTGGGGTCTGAGGACTCTGATGTGAAGATGGGGGACTGAGGACTATGATGTGAAAGGGGAACTCTGATATGAAGTGGGGACTGAGGAAGTGGGGACTCTGATGTGAAGGAGGAACTCTGATGTGAAGTGGGGAATGAGGAAGTGGGGACTCTGATGTGAAGGAGGAACTCTGTTGTGAAGTGAGGTATCTAATGTGAAGTGGGGACTGAGTACTCTGATGTGAAGGGGGAACTCTGATGTGAAGATGGGGGACTGAGGACTCTGATGTGAAGGGGGAACTCTGATGTGAAATAGGGACTAAAGGACTCTGATGTGAAGGAGGAACCCTGATGTGAAGGGGGGACTCTGATGTGAAGTGGGGACTCTGATGTGAAGTGGGGACTGAGAACTCTGATGTGAAGGAAGAACGCTGTTGTGAAGTGGGGTCTCTGATGTGTAGTGGGGACTGGGGACTATGATGTGAAGGTGGAACTCTGATGTGAGGAGGGGTACTGAGGTCTCTGATGTGAAGGAGGGACTCTGATGTGAAGGGAGAACTGAGGACTCTGGTGTTTAGTGGGGACTGATGACTCTGATGTGAAGGGGGAACTCTGATGTGAATAAGGGGACTGAGGTTTCTGATGTGAAGGGGGAACTCTGATGTGAAGTGGGGACTGAGGACTCTGATGTGAAGGAGGGACTCTGATGTGAGGACTCTAAAGTGAAGGGAGGACTCTAATATGAAAGGGGGGGCTCTGATGAGAAAAAGGGGTCTCTCATGGGACACCTGATGTTAGGGGGGGGGGCTCTCATGTGAAAGGAGGGGGCTCATGATATAAAGGGGACTTTGATGGTAAAGGGGAGCTGGTGATGTGAAAGGGGGACCCCTTTTTTATGTTTTTACATGGGGCCCCACATTAAAATCCATACGATAACATCTTTTACATTTTAGACCAGGGTGCCTGATAAATTCCTTTAATTTAAACCCCCACCCAGTCTTAATCTAACCCCTATAATTAGATTGCCCCTACAAGCCCACCCTTATTGAGTGGGCTGTTAACACTATCAGCACCAAAATCTCCCTATCCTGAAGTGGGGCCTTGGCAATAAGAACACCACATGCTGTGATCCTATGACAGAGTCCCAGCATTCTCATATGAGGTGCAGTATTGGTGTGCTGCTGCTTAACTCTCTGGAAAGTGGAGATTCACATTAAATTGAGGTGGCACCCTGTGGACTCTCTGACATTGGTTGTGGTGATGTACAAGATCATTGTGTGAGGTTTACTTCAGTGAGGTGACAGGTTCACTTTAATGCCCCATTGGGATGCTCAATAAGGCCATGCTTGAATGATTGCTTTTAAGAACAAGTCCATGTGTGGTTGACCTGTGTGACCTGACGATACTGAGGTGCAGAGGATTTTATTGATCATCACTGCTCCTCAAAGTGTATTGTGAGTAATGGTGTCCATTGGACATGTGTGGCGTCAGCAGTGGTTCCAGTATCCTCAATAGCAGCACTACATCCACAGCTCCCCTCCAGTATTCCTGCTTATACCTTACTGACATACTTGTCCTGTGCTATGAAAACATGCCGGTGTGCAGAAATCTTCTATGTGTGACTGCCATTAGGCTACATTCACATGGGGCATTTGGTGTGTTCTGGGGCTCATGCGGTAAGAACCTACACATCCTGCAGCGGGAATCCCAGGTGTCCCAGATCAGATGCGCGGGTACATGATACTATTACATACAGTTCAGAATAGATCAGAGGTGGGCAAATTCAGGCCCCCCCCCCAGCTGTGGTGAAACTACAAATACCGTCATGCATCTGTCTCTGAGAGTCATGTCTGTGGCTGTGAGAATCTTGCAATGCCTTATGGGATGTGCAGTTCCATAACAGCTAGAGGGCCGGAGTTTGCCTACTCCTGGGTTAGGTGATTGCCCCTGGATGCAGGATGGATGCATGCAGGGACAATCATCTATCCCGAACCCGTCATGCGCAATGACATCACAGCGGGGTGTCACCCGGTCTCCGCTCCGGGTGTCACCCAGCCTCGTGACGCCCCTGGGAAGAGCTCCATTGAGCTTCATATTTAAGCAATTTATGAGCGGAAATCGCGCTTCAAAACGCTCAGTGTGAATGGGTCTGAGATTGAAAAGAGTGGAGTAGTAAGAAAATCACATGAAACCCAGATGTAAGTTATAGAATGGTCTTCAGTGAATGACGTGTCAGATTCACACGTATACTTATGTCCGTGGCAGCAAAAGAGTTAAAGCTGAACTGCTCACGTCTTTTTGCCCTGAGGAAGAGGCCCTGCGTGGTCTCGAAACGTTGGCTCTTGTTTCTTGTGACGTCTATGTCCAATAAATGGACATGCTGGATTATTTTTCAGAGTGCTGGTGATTTCTGTTTCTACATTGTATCTGCACGGTGCCATCCGTGACTATCACTGCAAGCATCATCTGTTGGCTTGGACTGCTGCAGGGTGTGCGGAGGACTCTTTTATCTATCCATTACTGAACTGTGGGGAAGATTTTTATTTTAGAAACAGCACAAGTTAGGTACGGTAACCCTAATAATAATCTAATAGATGAAGAATAATAGTAGGTGCGGATGGCTGCTGCTTCGTGGAGAAATCATAGCTTGCTACAAGTCAGATTCTCTACAGAGCGCTGGCTGCGACAGAGAAACCCCTCCTCTCTACTCACCCAATCACACACAACCTTGGATTTTTTAGTTTAGTTTTTACAGAATACAAGACGTTCTACCAATGTGAATGTACATGGGCACTACAATAGGTCTGATTTTTCCTGAATGAAAATCACATTCATGGTTAGAATTCTGTTTGTTCAGACAGGACTTGAAACATTTTGTAATCCTGCTTCTTCAAATGTCCTGCAGTCAAAAGTGAACATTGATTAGCTCCCATTAACAGAAAAGTGAACAAACGTTCTGTAAGTGACCATACACCATACCAGGGTTGAGCAAACTCCAGCCCTCACGCTGTGCTGAAACTTCAAATCCCATCATGCGTCTGTCTCTGGGAGTCATGCCTGTGGTTGTGAGAATCTTGCAATGCCTCGTGAGATTTGTAGTTCCACGACAGCTGGAGAGCCTGAGCTTGCTCACCCCCAGTGGTATCAGGGGGTGCGGCCCGCACCCGGGTGACACCATTGAAGGGGTGACACCAAAATGACTCACAGTCATCTTGGTGTCACCCCCCTCTGAAAAGTCGGGTGCTCGGTCATGGAGAGTATCTGGAGAGAGGAGGGGACCCGGCGGCATACCTTATCCCGCCGGGTGACTGTCCCCTCTTCTCTCTGCCGGCGTCCATCACCAAGATGACCGCCGGCAGGTATCAGAATACTGCCGCGCGTGTGCGATGACGTTGTCACGCGCATGCGCAGTGACGTCTCGGCGCGGTGACACTCGATTACCGCTCCGGGTGTCACCCAGCCTTGGGACGCCTCTGCGCCATACAATAGGATTGTGTGATTTCCTTTAGATCTACCACCAACATTGTAGCGCCAGGGCCTGCCTTTCATATTAACTGAATGGCTTGTTTAGAATTGTTCAATATATAACACAACATTTGTGAATCTGAAGGGGACTGGACAGAGGTTGCACAATCAGATTGTGTAGTGTATGACCAGTATATGTTACATCCAGATATCTGTGCAGCATTTTAAAGCTAATGCTCACCACATGTGACAATCTGATTGTACAATTTCCTTTGGATCTACCATCAACTATGTAGTAGAAGGTCCCACCTGATTGGATAGTTCATGTAGATGCTCATATTACATAGTCTTGGTAGATCTAAAGTTGATGGTACGGTCAGATGGTAACATGTATGGTGACTCTAGTGTACACAGTGTTTGGGATAGCATTCATTAGTCAGACATTCGCATTGATGTATATGAAGCACAGACTGATATCAGACATACTCTAGTCCTATGATGTGACATTTACATACCATACTGTGGAGAAGCAGCCGGTGTGTCTCTGAAGCACATTTGGGAAATAAAACATGGCCCCGCAATTCTATGTTGTAAACTGTGTGTGGTAAAAGTGTATTGTACTGATACACAGTGATAAGAACTGCAATGTGCGTAATCAATAAATAGTAAGATAAAAAGACTCAATAAATATTCATCTATAATATGATCAGATGTCATGAAATCCTAGATCAGGATGGTGTTGTATGGGAAGGTGAGTGTGTATATGTGTGTGTACTACCCTGCATGTGACAATGAGTATGTGGGGTGTCTGGCACAGCAGCACTCAGAAGCTCCCTGTCATCCGATCCCCGTCTTCTGTGCGAGGAAAGTTTATTACTCGCAGCATCTCCAGAGAGAGCTCGCTCATACTTTCAGCCAATCACAACTGCAGACAGGTTGACCCCTCCCCTTCAGAATGATTTCTATGTTATCTGCAGGAGGTGTTGCTGGGTACCGAGGATTCTCGGCTGGCAGGGGTACCTGTTATCAGCCAATAGGAGAGCAGTTACTAAGTGTCAGTGTTCCCTCCATTCCCGCGTGCAGCCAGTCAGGGTGCTTTGACTTATTGCTTCTGAGGGTTTTGTTTTTTCTTGGCTGAAGAGTTCTTGATTTGTGATGCTGTGCAGTGCATGTATGATTGTATAGTACTGATATGTGACAATTCTGGGACAATTCACTGAAACTACATGTACTGGCACTGAGATGTACTGGGATAGTCCACTGAGACTGTATATATTGGCACTGAGATGTACTGGGATAGACCACTGAGACTGTATATACTGGGACTGAGATATACTAGAATAGTTCACTGAGACTGTATATACTGGGACTGAGATATACTGGGACAGTCCATTGAGACTGTATATACTGGGACTGAGATATACTGGGACAGTCCATTGAGACTGTATATACTGGGACTGAGATATACTGGGACAGTCCATTGAGACTGTATATACTGGGACTGAGATATACTGGGACAGTCCATTGAGACTGTATATACTGGGACTGAGATATACTGGGACAGTCCATTGAGACTGTATATACTGGGACTGAGATATACTGGGACAGTCCATTGAGACTGTATATCCTGGGACTGAGATATACTGGGACAGTCCATTGAGACTGTATATCCTGGGACTGAGATATACTGGGACAGTCCATTGAGACTGTATATACTGGGACTGAGATGTACTGGGACAGTCCATTGAGACTGTATATACTGGGACTGAGATGTACTGGGACAGTCCATTGAGACTGTCCCAGTATATCTCAGTTCCAGAATACTGTATACAGTTCATTGAAACTACATGTACTGGCACTGCGATATATACCAGGGGGACAGTCCACTGAGACTGTATATACTGGGACTGCAATATGCTGGGATAGTCCTCTGAGACTGCATTTACTCGTACTGAGATATATCGGGACAGTCCACTTAGACTGCATATACTCGCACTCATATATCCTGGGACAGTCCATTGACACTGCATATACTCGTACTGAGATATACCGGGACAGTTTACTGCTGACACTGCATATACTCGTACTGAGATATAACGGGACAGTCCATTGACACTGCATATACTCGTACTGAGATGTACCGGGACAGTCCACTGACACAGCACATACTTGTACTGAGATATACTGGGACAGTCCACTGACGCTGCAATATACCGTGCCAGTCCTCCAAGACTGCATATACTGAGACTGCAATGTACTGGGATAGTCTACTGAGACTACATATACTGGGACTGAGATACACTGGGACCATTCACTAAAACTACAGGTACTGGCACTGCGATATACCAGGGGCCTGTCCACTGAGACTGTATATACTGAAACTGCGATATACCAGGACAGTCCACTGAGACTGTATATACTGGGACTACAAAATATAGGATAGGTCACTGAGACTGCAATTACTGGGACTGAGATACTGTATACCGGGACAGTCCACTGAGATTGCATATACTGAGACTGGAATATACTAGGACAGTCCACAGACACTGCACTAGCACTGTCTGCAGTACTTGGGGGGGTAAACTATACAAGGGAGCCATTTGTGTGGGGGAAGTAACTATACTGGGGGAAGGCTTGGGTTAGGTGGGTGCGTTACAGGCCTTGACTGCTGCACACTGTGGGGGCAAGGGTCAGGAGTGCAGAGTGCACCGTGTGCAAGTGTCAGGAGTAAGGCACTCCTGGACCCTGCACTCTGTGCATTATGTACCACTAACTCCTGCACACTGTGTGTTTATTACAGTCACAATACAATTTAAGACAAGATAGTAAGGAGGGCCCTGCCCCTGAGGGCTTACAATCTAAAGGGTGGGGCAAGTGATACATGAGGAGGTAGCTGTGAGGGGATGAATTGTTTGAGAAAGTGATAGTTCAGTGGTTAGGTTGAGGTGGGATAGGCTTCCCTGAAGAGATGAGTCTTTAGGGATCGCCTAAAGGCAGTCAGAGTGGGAGATAGATGGACAGGTTGGGGTAGAGAGTTCCAGAGGATGGGAGAGACTCTAGAGAAGTCCTGGAGGCGAGCATGGGAGGAGTTGAGGAGGGAGCTGGAAAGCAGGAGGTCTTTGGAAGAGCGGAGGGGACGGTTAGGGTGATACTCTGAGACCAGGTTTGAGATGTAGCCCGGGGCAGAGTTGTGGATGGCTTTGTACGCGGTTGTTAATATTTTGAATTTTATCCTTTGGGCTATTGGAAGCCAGTGCAGGGATTGGCAGAGGGAGGTTGCAGACACTGAGCTGTTGGTTAGGTGAATGAGTCTAGCAGCTGCATTCATGATAAACTGAAGGGAGGGATAGCAATATGTGATTTACTTACTCTTGACCCCTGCACTTTGTCTTTTTTATTGCATGCATAAACTCCATCTATCTATTTTAAACTATTTATCTAAACTTATTCAGCATTTAAATATAAAAAAATGACATAACTAATACTTTGTATGTTAAGCTTTTAATCTGTTTTATGTATTTATTTTGTTTTACATATAAATATTTTATTTCAGTGCATACAGTCCATGACATAGATCACTCTTTTTTGAAGCCGCAAGTGCCCATCCTGTTCTGCCCCCACATCGCCGCCAGCCGAGAAGGATGAAGACATAGGGGGAGCCGCCGAGACGGACGGAACTCGAACACACAGAGCAGGTAAGAATAATCTCCACAGTCTTACCTCCCATCCGAAAATCAATACTCCCCAAGGGGACACCCTTGCACGGCGCCGAATCTTGGGAACCTCCTAGGGGAGAGAGGCTGAACTCCCCCGAGGCCATCCAGAACTCACTTCCTACATTTAAACTTGACAACTAGAAAAATAACTCTGTCCTAGGGGGGACAGGAACAAAAAAGACTGGGGAAGTCAGCAGGAGGAGGGGCTTTTATAGAGAGGGTTATGCCTTGTTTAACCCTTTTGGCTCCTGTCATCTAATTGGAGCTAAAACCCATTGGTCAGCGCTGCCATGGATATGGCCAGGAAAGAGAGGACAACATCCACTGCTTCCTTATAAGCTCTCATCCAGAGTCTGTATAGAGGGTGCAGAAGGCAGGGAAGCACCATGACCATCCAGACTATGTCACGATAGAACTCCACCGTTTTTGGGGCACCAAGGGAGCTTTGGAAACAATCTGTAAATAAGTGCAGGCATCTGGAAATCTAATTAGTCCATTTGCATAATCTTTGCTTAGTTTATAAAAGTGTTTTCAATGATCATTAAACCACATACAATAGATGCTGCTTCTTGATGTTTAAATGTTTTCGTTTTCAGCAGAATTACTTGATCACTTGAGCACTGGCCCTTATATTCTGTTTTAGGGCGACTTCTTTCCCTTGCAGGATGCTATGGAGCAATCCTTGTGTGTAATAGTAAGTTGTGTGTGTCTCCACAAACACACAGACACAGCAAAGCAAGCCACTCTGCTGATCTACATTCCTCCCTCCTCCAAGTTAGTAGATGGACAGCTGCTGGAGACTGTGCTGTCCCTTGTGATCATATAGTGGACAGGAAGTTCAGGGAAGCCAAGCTGAAAGAGTTGTAGCTGTTTAGAAACATAATGTGACTAAGTGCTTGGCCAAAAATGTAAATAAACACTTTCCTGGGCATTGTCTATTTGTTTTATCTGGATTCAATATTGAAAAAAAGGTTGAGCGTTTAAAGTGAAACCTTAAAAATTAGGGATGCACCGATACAGAGTATTTGGTATACTCGTACTCGCCCAAATGCTCCCGATGCTTATACCGATACTGGACTTCCAGTATCAGGAAGCTGGGTGGCGAATAATTACATGACTCGTCGCTATTACCAATACCGGAAGTCCCTTTAACCACTTGAAGAATAGGTGTTACACCCACGTCCTGTCCAGGCCATTTTTCAGTATTCAGCGCTGCGGTACTTCAACTGACGTTTATTCCGTCATGCAACGCTGTACTGAAATTATTTTTTACCATTTTGTGGGGACAGATAGAGCTTTCTTTTGGTGGTATTTAATCACCACGGGGGGTTTTATTTTTTACTATATAACAAAAAAAGTACCCTAAATTTTGAAAAAAAAAATACCTGTTTCCCTATGAAATGTTATGAAACATTTATTATTACCCCAATTTTTTGGTAAAATAAAAAAAGTCGGGGTCACATCCGGTAAATAGTAAAACAGTAAAAAGGTTTCCTGGCACACTCACAAGCTAGCATGTAAAAAAAACTTGTCTCACCACTAAGGTTAAAAACAGAGGTTGGGATACACGTCTTCTGCAGAAAATGTGAAAGCCGCACAGGCGCGCCAAGGCACCTCTGATAGGGCTATAACCAATACCGGAAGTCCCATTAACCACTTGAAGACCAGGGTGTTAAACCTCTAAAATTATTGCTCTCATGCCGACGTTCGCGCCGATATGTAACATGTGTGGCCCAATAGGCGGAATCGTCGTTTTCGCACGTTGGCGCAACCGACACATGTTTACGTGTGTATGTGGGGGGGCGGGGGACTTTAAAAAAAATTGTGTTAGTTTACAACACATCGGGTAAATAGA